GCTGGTGGATGAGTGACCATCAGGTCGAGTCCCTTTGGAGATATAAGATTTCTGACCAAGACCAGACTGCACACTTCTTCTCCTCACCGTTTTGTTCCCAGTAAAAGCAAGGCTTTCCTGCCAGCGCAGCAAGAGAATCATTTCTTCTTTGGTGCACTATTTAATCATCTGGTGGATGAGTGACCATCAGGTCGAGTCCCTTTGGAGATATAAGATTTCTGACCAAGACCAGACTGCACCCTACTTCTCCTCACCGTTTTGTTCCCAGTAAAAGCAAGGCTTTCCTGCCAGCGCAGCAAGAGAATCATTTCTTCTTTGGTGCACAAATATTTAATCATATTGGGAGCACGACCCTAGCCAGACCAAAGTCCCACCTGGACTCCTGCTAGAACCCCAGCTCCCACTCCTCCCTTGCCAGGACGCCAGCCTGTGGGACGGGAGTGAAGACAGCACTCAGTAATCCTGAGCTCACTAATCCTGCCCAGGGTTTATGGTGGGCTGTGGGGTGGAATCAGGCCATGTCAGTGCGGGAGCCTGGAGAAGGCTGAGACAGGGCTAGCAAGTAGCTGGGGAAACTCAGCTCAGGGCTGCAGGACGGCTGGGGAGGGCAGAGGGAAGATAGGTGAGGATCTGCAAGGACCAGGAGTGGGGGAGGAAGAGGAGGTTCTTACTAAATTCTGTGGGAGAAAGTGGAGGGGAGGTTAGAGAAACTAGTATGAAGTGAAAGGAAATTAAACATTTGCAGAGAAACGTATCTGGCAAACTTAGGCGGCAGAGAAGAAATTAAATATTTAAGGGAGAAGCAAGAGAATCAAGTATTTGAGAAAATAATCAACTATTAAGAGAAACAGTGAAGGTCAGATATTTGGAAAGAAGGCAAAAATAAATATTTGGAGGAATCAAAAGGATCAAAATGGGGGACAACAAAGAAAATGGACTATTTGAAAGAGAAGAAAGTGGTTCAGATAGTGTGGACCAAACGAAAATAAACATTTGGGACAGAAATGAGAATATCAAATATTGCCCAAAAAGATGGAAACAAACTGAGGAATGAAAAACAGATTGAAGAATGGGGGGAGGAGGAATATTCTAAGTTTCAGGGAAGAAAAATACTTTTTTTATTCAAGGGAGAAGAAAAACGACGGGCTATCTAGGAGACAGATAGGGACCCGTTTGGGGAAGAAAGCAGAAGATAGCCTGGTTGAGAAAGGAAGAAAAAAACGAATATTTGTTAAAACAGAAGATCCGTATATTAGAAGGAGAAAACGGATTTAATTTGGGAAAGAGGATAAAGATGAGAAAAAGGAAAAGACTAATTTTTCCTGGGGACAGGAAAGCAACCATTATGGAGAAAAGGCAGGAAATATCGAAGAAAAGAAAGAGGCGAAGCGAGGGCTAGGAAGGAGGGGGGTGGTCCCGCCCTCGGCAGCCCTGACCCTGTCCTGCCCCCTTCCCCCAGGTCTGGTTCAAGAATCGGCGAGCCAAGTGGCGGAAGCGCGAGCGTAACCAGCAGCTGGACCTGTGCAAGGGCGGCTACGTGCCGCAGTTCAGCGGCTTGGTGCAGCCCTACGAGGACGTGTATGCTGCCGGCTACTCCTACAACAACTGGGCTGCCAAGAGCCTGGCGCCAGCGCCGCTCTCCACCAAGAGCTTCACCTTCTTCAACTCCATGAGCCCGCTGTCGTCGCAGTCCATGTTCTCGGCACCCAGCTCCATCTCCTCCATGACCATGCCGTCGAGCATGGGCCCGGGCGCCGTGCCCGGCATGCCCAACTCGGGTCTCAACAACATCAACAACCTCACCGGCTCCTCGCTTAACTCGGCCATGTCCCCCGGCGCCTGCCCTTACGGCACACCCGCCTCGCCCTACAGCGTCTACCGGGACACGTGCAACTCGAGCCTAGCCAGCCTGCGGCTCAAGTCCAAGCAGCACTCGTCGTTCGGCTACGGTGGCCTGCAGGGCCCGGCCTCCGGCCTCAACGCCTGCCAATACAACAGCTGACCG